CCTTCACATTCTCAATCGAGTCACTCGGCTCCACTTCCAGTGTGATAGTTTTACCGGTCAAAGTCTTCACGAAGATCTGCATCCCACCACGAAGACGAAGCACAAGGTGCAGAGTCGACTCCTTCTGAATGTTGTAGTCGGAAAGGGTACGGCCGTCTTCCAACTGCTTTCCCGCGAATATCAGACGCTGCTGATCCGGTGGAATGCCTTCTTTGTCTTGAATCTTAGCCTTCACGTTCTCTATCGAGTCACTAGGCTCAACCTCCAAAGTAATAGTCTTTCCAGTGAGTGTCTTCACGAAGATCTGCATGATTAGCACGCTCTAAGCACAACCGTTGTCGCAGTGGCTCTGCTCTCGTAAACGCTGCCTTAAATTTGCGTTGTTGGTTTGCGTAGGCTAAAGCAAACTCACAGTTGATTGGTTGCTACACCAGCAAACTAAACATATGACCACTCCTCATTGGTTAGACGGCTTTGTATCGTAAGCGCCATATTTGCATTCATGCATAGGCTACGCAGGTGATTATCGATTACTTCAAGTGCGTGCGTGCATGCATTGGTGCGCACGCGCCGGCTTTTTGCTACCTCTCATTTCTCCTCCTCCTTGCTAAGCTGCGTAAAACGTGGATTTTTGCATCATCTTACTTCATCCTCGGATTTCGCATTTTAATTTAATTCATCGATAACATAGTTTCCTTACATAATGGTAACTTTTACAAGTAGATCATTTAGGATTCCCGGTTTTTTCTGTTAAGTTGGGTAACCATAATGCCTCCTCACGATACATATGGGTATAAATAAAAGTAAAATGAAGGAGTCAGTCAGAAGTGCTTCTTTAAAAGTCCATAAAGCCGATTTGTTTTTTTTTTCGGTTACTTAGTCTTTAAAAGTCACCCTTTGTGCTTGAAAGTGATTTAGGTTTTGCTTATCCAACCTTGATAATGTACCAATTTCCGTTTCGAGGTTTAATTGCGAAAAATTGTCATGCAGGGAGTAGGTCGGAAAACAGTTTGGAGATTTTGCTAAGTTTATCTTTCTTGGGTAGTCACCCACAGTTCCAGACACCGGTGAGATTTCCGCATTCACAGCTGCAGAGCTTTTAAAAAGGGCTAGTCAGTGCTTTCGTCTCATCGCGTGGTTGAGGGATTTAGTTACTCCCCGCCAAGTTTAAGAGGATTATAAAAATATAAATTAGTTCCACGGCTACTACTGTGGTGAAAGGTATTGTGACCAGGTGTGGGGCGAGAATGCGGAGTTAAGGCAAGTAAGTAAGCTGTTGCACGACTCCAAGGCATTGCTACTTTT